GGGCAGCAGGATGGGGCTGCAAATGGCAGTGCTAACCGCTGCTTACCATGCTGCCACCGCTGGATGCAGCCCATGAGGTTCCCTGAAGTCTGGAGGCAGCGAGGGTGTGCAGGTAAGTTTGACCCCACCCCCCACTCTAACTAAATGTTTTGTCTAACCCAACACTAAACTCTTTCTTTTGGATCTGAGCACTCAAGGCTTTCAATTTCCAGCTTTCCTCCCACTCAATGCAAATCATTTGGCAAAACCAAGACAGATTCCCAAAATATTTCACTGTCACCAAACCTTCATTTTTTGCCAACAGTTTTGGCTGACAAATCTCACCCACACACAGCACGTAACGCATACCAGTATACACACACTGTATAATTCTGCTCATGTACAAACAACTCACAGATCTCTGCACTTTCATACAGATGCAGGATGCAGTTAGGGTGTGTTGTTTGTTGTGCCATTGGACTGGGACATCATTTGCCTTGAATCTCCCAATTTCTAATTGAGTCCCAAGACCCATATGGTAGCAATGAAATGAAGACAGGAGGACAGACAGATAGTCTTTACCTCCTGCAGTTATTGAGACAGCATGTATCCTCAGGGAGAAGATGGTCTTTAAAGTAACAGTGCACATGACCTTTTACTTGTTCCATACGTCTTCCAGTCTTGACTTGCGTGATGTTCCCTTGGTGCATGAAACTGAATGGGAATTTCTTTCCACTCCTTCCCAAGTTTTTCCAAATAACAGAATTTCTGTCTAGGTCTAGCTAGCCTGACCTTTTCTACTGCACTTCAGAGGCACCATAGCCTCCCCAGTGTTTTTGCCTAACAAGTCTATCCATTCCCACTTTAGGGGGTGTCCTTAATCTCCATCAACTCCCTGATTTCCAATTGTGTAGTAGTGCCTGATACCAAGAACCTCAGGATGGGCACTGTACCTGCAGATATACTGTCTTCTTACAGTAAGAGAGCTTGGATCCTCCTCCTGCAGGGTGTTTTGCAGGATCTCTTATTGGAGCTATCCTGGCCATAAATATATGTCACAAAACTACTTCCCTATCTTTGTGAGAGGCAGCACAGAGACTGCCATGACAGAGCTGATAAAAAGAAGCCTGTTCCATAATAAGCTAAACAAGGAGGTGGCTCCTTTCCCCATTCCAGTCATAGCATATTTACCTTGGTTATAAATATCTGAACAAACTACCATGGAGCAAAAGAAGGTGGGGCTTTACCATGCATCAGTTGTTCCAGTCACTGCCCAAGTGCACACTCTTACCCTGTAGGAAGTGCCCTCTCACTAAACTGCTATGATTTGTCTTACACTTAGCAGTAGCTGAGTATGGTAAAGACCTTCCACTTCTGAGCTAATAGTAAATTATTCCTATGTCCCTCTCTTTCTAAGGGAAGAAAAGGGATGCCTAAGCATCTAGGCAAGGGACAGACATTCAAAAAGCCTGAGCTTGAATTGATTCAATCTTTGCAGGTTAGTCTAACCTGCTAGGCTAAATCAGTTTTGTAACAAGACACACTGCGCAGAAAAGCAGGCACATGCCTGCAGTGTTGCATGCCAAAAGCTGCAGGGCACTAGAGCAGCCCTCCCATCCCTTCCACAGAACTGAGCTGAGGGCGGACCTGGCCAGACCGCAGCAGGATGCTTTGATTACCCCAGCAGGGAATTGATAACAGTGTTTATCACCCCTAACTCAGTATTTATTACCCCATTAAGAAAACAACAGAGGGACATTATCAGCTACCTGTTGATTCAGTACAGACCTTAGCCAGCATGTATGTGGTCTGGTAGCTAATACACAGACACCTCCTCAGCAAGGCAGAGGGGAAGGGGGAATTCCTGCTGTGCAGGGAGTGGTGAGGGAGCTGGAGCATGTGCTGGAGCTGCAGCCAGCTAGAGAGGCCAGCCCTGCTGTGGAGCAGAGAGCCCTGCTAGCTCAGAGAGCATGCTGGGATGCTGGGGGTGTCTGGTTTAGCTTAGACCAGCAAAGGGTCTGGGACAGACATTGCTTAAGCTGGTTTGAGCCAAATCAGTTAAGTATGATACTAAATTCAACCAGGTTTATCTCAAACCATTTTCAAACTGATTTATGTGCACTGAACATTTGTTCTGTTACAGGTTTAAACCAGTTTCTGATCACTTAAGCCAGTTTATGTGTAATGTCTGTCCCTACCCCTAGACACTGCTGATGCTAAGGAAAGGACTTGTCTACATGAGAAAATTGCAGTCTACTTAACTAAAACAAGGCACTCAACCTGAAATGTGTTCACGTACATTTGCTAAGCAATTCTGAACTAACCTGGTTTAAATGTACACTGTAGAACAAACCAGGGCAATCCTCTCATGTAGGCAAACCTAAAAAAGGAGAATGTAAATCTCTTTGGCTCCTGGGAGTAGAAGGTTACAGAGTGAACACAGACTGACAGAAGATGCCTGAATACAGTACTTTGTGACACCCAATATTGTTCTAATGTTTCATAAGTCAGTACATAACTGGACAGACTGCTCATCTATATATCCCTGAAAAATGTCTCTTGTCTTAGATTTTCCATGAGCAATCCCCATCCCATAAGAATTTTCATTGCAAATATTAGAACAGTTTGAAAATAGGAATTTGAATTGTTTCCAGCATCTTTAACTATACCCAATAAGCAAGCATTCCTTCTGTCCTAAAGCCACTGTGTGTTGGATGGTATGATCATGGCCCAGTGGTTTGCTATAAAGGAGAGATTCTGAGTCTTCAGTTTGAGCTGTCTGAGAAGTACAACAACTGCTCAACAATTGTACAACAACTGCTCGATAAAAATCCAGGAGGGAACCTGTTAACATGCAAACACATGACACTGATGATGAAAAAATGAGATTGTTTTCATAACAAACACCCTATTTGTTTTTACCATGGTGGTGTTTTAAGTACCCCTCGGAGGGACAAAAAACAGAATTTCTACAGGGCTGGCTAATGCAGCTCCATATCAGCTCCTGGTCTGACACTTTCTTCCCCCACCTTTCTGGGCTTTTCTGTAGTTTTCTGGTTGTCTTTGTACATTTGTGTTTTTACCCCCCACAAGCCTCAATTGCTGCCCAGCAAATAACATAATTTGAAAAAATGTAAACCATCACAAGAAAGGGATACTGAAATGGCCAATCTAAGGCAGTACTCATAAGAACAAGTATTTCAGCCAGGGAGACACAAAAAAGAAATATGGACCTGGAATGCTGTTCACTGCCAGGGATCAGGCCAGTTAAATAAAGTAGGAAAAAGCCGCTAGGGTGGCTGCTTTAACAGAAATTGACTGCAACAATTCCCTGACCCCTGGCCAAATAGGCCTTAAAAGAACTGGCTTAGCCAGCAAAGCAAATCAGCCCTTTTTAAAGGATAGGACAGCAGCTATGGGGTTAAACAACTGTGTCTAAATCTTTTCTTGTATGGTTAAGAATGTTTTGCTGCATGGTACCACAGAGATTGTAAAATGAATGTTTATTTTCCTTCAGCTTCTTATTTGCACCCTCTAAAACACACTCATCTCTTTCTAATGCAGCCATGCTCTGGACTGCAGTCCTAGAGAACCAACATGTGTTGTAAGAAAAGTTAGATGTAATCTCACATGCAAATTCTAATCATACCACCAAAAGCTAGCACTGAAATTACACTTGGTGACTCTTGATCAGATCCTGAGCAACCGCAAAAATTGGGGCTCCCAAAAGTCTAGGCAAAACACACCCACTCAGCTTACATGGGATAGACTTCTCTTGTGACAACTTAATATAAAGCAGTGTCCTCACAGTGGGAACATCAGTGCACAAACCGCCAAGTACAAAGAACTCTGGATTGGGCCATCACTTCACAAGCAAAATTCCCTATTCAAGTAAGTGATTAAATCTGCCTAAAAAATTAGATTCAAGCTTGCCCAAAAGAACTAGGAATATACATTCTTTCAGCATTTGGCCAGAGATGGAGGAAACCTAACTGCTCCCTGCAGCAGCGAAACACAGCTCCCCCAATGGAAGTCATATTAGGCATCAGGCAGAAAGACAAAAATCTTTAAGTAAATGTTAAAATTAGAATTGTTACATAGCCTGGTAGAGATCTTAGCCAAAGGGACAAGATGTTGTCACTTACTTAATTTCTGGCTGTAGTACTGAAACCTCAGCACTGTATGAAGTTGAGCGTGTCTTGGCAGAGACTCTTAGTGCCTTTTCCTTTCTGGCTCCTGTGACCTGCTGAAAGTATGCCCCAGTCCTGCCTCCCTTTGCCTCACTGCTCCCTGTCTGAACCATTCCTACTTCCCAACTTTTCTCCATTACTGCAGTTTCTCTCCACATGCCTCCTTTCTCTCCCAGCCTACTGTTATTTCATTCCTCTTACTGCAGGTCAAAACCAAGGCTGACCATAACAAATAGTGATGAAAAGGCTCCCTTCAAAAATCAGCCTGAACACCACTCCCTGAGTGAGAAGTGTTAACTCTGCCTACCAGAACTGTAATATCTTTCCTCACCCACATAAACTATGAACCTAACCTCTCTTCCCCCCACCAAGCATCTTCTATAAGATGTTCCCTCTCCTACAAACCATCTCCTCTACTTCCATCCTAAAAGTATCCACTATCTCCCCTTCATCAGCCCAAAAGATTCTCTTTGTTCCCTCTAGACAGAGACAAAGAAAGCAATTTATTATAGGACCTAAGTAGGATTGAAGTGTTACTGTCTATTTCATTTAAATCTTTGGAGAACACCAGTCTGTTTCTAGATAAAGCCCTCACTCAGCAACAACCCTCCTAAAACTACAAATCACCCCAGAATTTAGTGAACAAAATCCATTCAACATCAGAAGTAGTCTTCTAAAGTTAGAACAGCTCTGTGTGCTTGATACCCCCATCCCTCATTTTTTTACTGTATATTTTTTAAGGGGAAAAGGAAAATGAGAAAAATAAATAACTCTGTGTCTCTTGGTGTAAGAGGAACTGTGCCACAAGGAGGTGAAAAATAAGTTACTTACCCAGCATGGTGATCCACAGGAACACCTGGGCAGGACTGAACAGATGTGATAGACAATCCATGACTTTGCTGGGTCCTTGATGCTTCTTGCTCTGTGTGCTTCTTCCAGCGCTGACCTCTCTTTTTCTCTCTGGCTCTGCAAAAGCACTGATGTTAACGCTTGGACTCTTGCTGGCTTATAGAAGAATTCCCACCTCCTGCTCAGGGAGGCTCTCATGGGTCCTAAAACCCTCACTGTTCCTGTCTCCTCCCTGCCCCCCTCCCACCTGGTACATTCAGCTACAGAGAGATCAGCAGATCCAAGAAGCAGAAATTGTATCAGTTATTAAAACATCGATCTAAACATTTTTAAAACTTTAGTATTCAACTGGAAGTGCTGAGTTCAGCATCTTATTAGGTATCTTCCTTTCTTTGTCTCTCTCATCCTGCAGCTGCTTTGATGCAACTTCTCTACTTCCCAAACACATGCACATTCTCTGGACCACATTCTGGCAATGTAAAATGAATTCCCTAGATTTAAGTGTCCTTCCACTAGCACTTGTATGAGAGAGGAATTATCTACAATAAGGTAGATATCTTTACACTCAGCTAGATTCCCTAAAGGTCCATACATTCATTTACCTGTGTTCAAGGCAGTCTAAAATGTGTAACTTGTACAATGGAGACCTGGAGGTGTGTATGCTGAGGGTAGTTCTCAACTTTTGTAGACTTAAGGCACTCCTTGATAGCCTTGAGACACCCTCAGAAAACATCATCTCTTAGTTTTTACTTGTCTTTTTACTAGACTCCCTTAGCTGCCATCAGAAAAATAATAAAATAATTCTTCTGTTGCAAAGACCTCAGAAAGACCAAAACACGTCAGAATGTTTTTAACATGGATGCATGGCAGGCACCCTGTGGCATCCTTGAAAGGATCTCAAGATACACTGTATGGTGTAGATGCTTTACCATACACCTATCTTACTTCATCCTTGTAATTTCTTTACTTGCCAAATCCATTTTTTCTTCTGTTTTGAGTTATACAAATTTAGTCTGACTTAGATCCACTTAGATGTCGGGCTTGTCTGCACAGAGAGTTTAACTAGCAATGGCCACCCCAGAATAGCAATTCCTGATTAACTCCCTTTGTAAGAGACCTCAGATGTGAGACTGTCATATTCCAAGTTAGCTTCACCTTCTTCCAAGGTGAGTGAAGCTAGTTGTGAAATAGGCATTCTTATTCCAGATTAAAAACTTCCATACAGGGTGCATCTATATATACACTTTACTGCAGTTTACTAATTAGCTCCACAGTAAAGCATTACAGTCTATACATGCACCCATATCAGGGCACAGTAAACTAATTAACTCCACCGTAGAATAGTACTATCCGAGACAAGTACTATCCTATGATGTAGTTACATGAGATCAAATGCATGTGTAGATTGTGACTGAGGCTGGCTGGGACATGAGGGTGCTACAGTGTGGGGGCTGCCTGCTGGCTAGTCCTGCACTGTAGCACCCTAGTACCCCAGCCAGCTCTCTGCCACCCAACACTGCCACCCAGAGCCTGAGGTTGACCCCCCCAAGCTCCCACTCCAGGTCAGCTGCTCCTGGCTGCAGCATCTTCTCATGCATCCAGGATGGTCTCAGGAGCATGTGAAGATGCTGCACCTGGGAGCAGCTGACTCCAGCACAAACTGCTCAAATGTTTATCAGAGAGCATTAATTGTATGCATAGACATGCCCACAGAGAATTCACTGGGAATAGCAATTCCACTTTAAATTTCTATCCTACCATAATCTGCATTAACTTCCCTGTGAAGATAATTTCTCTGTAGAACAAATTCAGAGGGATGCTTGATCACTTGAGGCAGGTGTAAGTTACAGATTGGCAATGGGTGTGAGGTTATCTAAAGTTAAAAGAGTTCTGAGCAGAACATTGTACATGCTGAAGGGGATGGAAATTCCATCCATGAGACTCCTATTTAACCTGGAGGGGTATCAAATCACTTCAGTAGACAGGTCTGAATTCCAGCTTTAATTATGAACCACGAGCTAGGTTTTAAAAATAACACTCCATAATGCCCTCAATTCACAGTGTATCTTCCACTGATATCAATGGGAAAATTAAAAAAAAAAGGATGGAATCTGGCCTTTATGCAGTAGTGAAAATTGTTGTCTTGCTTATTTGTCCAGGATCTTCTTCACATTCAGCAGACTTTTGGAGATCTCTGAGTATTGCCTAAATTTCTTGAAAGAAGAACAATTCAAGAGAGGCCCTGACCATTAGAGAGGCCCTGACCATTACAGCTCCATGCCTGCATTGGTGCTCCATTTCTAAAATTATACTCACAAGAAAGATAAAACCAGTTATTTATAAAGAACATTTATTGTGATCAGTGGCCAATTCATATCTTAGCTGCCATCAGTTTTTACCCTAAAATTCTATTAATTTTATTAGGAGCATAAAGTGTGGAAAAATGTTACGGCATGGTCCTATAACAGAATGGATGCTAATAAAGCAGGCCTCTACCAGATTTCTTAGCCCTAGCTGATTTCTGAACACCAAGTATTATCATTAGCAAAACAAAAATTTTCCCTGAGAAGAGCAGTTAAAATCCTACTGGAAGTGAAACTTTCTCAAATGTATAGGATAGCTGAAGAAGGTTTAAATAATACTTCCCTGTGTATCTGTCCTAGCAATACGTAAGAGGAAGTATTTCATCTTTTCCATAGTTTTCAGTTAATTCGGGCAGAAGTTGTTAAATATAAAATACTTTAAAGAAATCTGAGGTATCATAAACTTCATGTAAAAATGTAACATATGAGAAAGATCTTTTTTCAAAAAGTACAAAATAGAAGAACAGAAGAATTTGAGTCAGATTCTGGCTGGTTCCATAGGCATCTATACAGGTTGCAAACAGAATTTAGATGCCGAATTGCCAAAGAACAATCCACACTGGCCCCAAAGCAATCTACACTGGCCACAAATTAGGTGCCCAGTTTCATTCATTGCTTCCATTTTAAAGCTATGCAGTTTGATCACTTACGTTATGTGCCCCTAAAGGGAGGTAACCCAAGCACAGGAGCTGCTCCCAAGCATGCCTAACTTACACCCACAGAACTGAAGTCAGTTTAAAAAAATGGCCACCTTGGATGATGGTGCCCATCTCTCACACATTAACCTAGAATTCAGAGAACACCTACCCAGGAAGTGAGACCTGCATTCTAGAGCCTCCTCAACTGCCTCTCACTTCCCAGAAGAGTGCCCTAGAATAGAATGGATTATATAGGCACCTTCCACTCCTTTAAGTTGGCCCACTGGATAGCTAAGAATCCAAAAGCCATAGGGCCAGGAGCATATGCAAGAGGCAGTGTGAATCTATAGTCCTGGGGCTAGGGACTCAGCTGGGAAGAGACAACCCTGTGTTTTGGTTTCTACTATCAGAACTGTCCTGCATCTTATATTAGATGTTCATTGATTTAAAAACAGAAGTAACTGTGGGAGCAGGATCGACTATTTACAGGCGCAGTATCTACTGGAAGATCTAGAATCAACCTTTGACAAAGCAATTAGAATTTGTCAGGCAAAGTAAGCCACTCAGTTGAAGTGAAAAGTGCTCTGCCCTTGAAGACCTGGGGGAGAATTAAAAGTACTGCAAGCAAAGAGACTGGACACAACTGCATGAAGTACAAAAAGCAGTATAGGGAGCTGTATATGTTGTGGCAAAGCCAAACCAAGTCCCAGCATTTGGAAGAGGATGCAAAATCAGCAGTGAATTCCAACACTTAGCAAGAATTTGCAATGCCAGCAATGTGTGAAAAGCATCAACAAGGAGGATGACAAGAGCACAATGTTGGACTAAATAAGGAACTGGGGAAGATACACTTTGGGTGTGTCTCCACATGCTTTTATGCTTGACTAAACTTAATGTGCATTAGTCTAATGCACATTAAAGTGATTTAGGCACACATCCACACATGCACATGCTAATGCGCATTAACATGGGTGGGTGGACTGACCGGGGACCAAAGTTAATCCCAAATCAATAGACACACATCATGTTAATGCACATTAGCACATCAACATTTTCGCTAATGTGATTTAACTATTTAAGGTGAATAACCTTAAATCACCATTTTTAAGGCACATTATGGGCATACACGTGTAGACACCCACCCTTCGTGCGCCTTAAATCAAGCTAATGTGCATTAAATGTGCATGTGTAGACACACTCTGTGTGAGCGCTCGTTACTGAGTTGAAAGCACGTCAAACTCTTGATTTCTCCAAGACACTGTACTCCTTGGAGGAGCAAGGGACGTAACAACTGAAGAGAACATATTTGGGACATCTTTCAGGAAATACAGGAATTCTCAACACAGTACAGAAAAGAGTTGGAAGAGTCCAACACTTAACAGTTCCCACCCCTAGAAAAGATCCCCTGCCCGTAAGGCAGAGGCGAAAGAAGAACTGAATACGCTCAGTGCTCTTGAAATCATGAACAGGTCCAGACATTACACTTTTACAGGTATAAGTGATCCAAAACCAGTTCTATACCTGGAGCAGAACAGAAGTTAAGCACACAGACTGGTTTAAAAATAGTGAAACCTGGTCTAAGATTTTCTCCCCTCCAAAGGGTGAATGTGTGTTCTGTTCACTACTGAGCTAAACTACACCAGTTACAGAAAACCACATACCTTGGGCTTTGTGAATGTTTGTACCTAGCCGATGTGAGAAGAAAAACTAGCAGAGGAGGTAGATCACTGATACTGAAGGAAAAAAAAGATAGAAACTTTTTCTCTACACATAGACTCAAAAGAATTAAATCTGTAACAGGGAACATTGTCCACTATCTATATGTGAAGAAACCTTTGGGGAAATAGTTGATGCCAAATATTTTCTATGCTTGATGTGTCAGCAGAGTTCTGGCAGGTGCCCTTAAAAAAACAATCAACATTTCTCTGTATATTCAACACTCCCTATGGGAGATAACTTCACCACATACCGCCAAGTTGTTTCACAGGAAAATGCAACAAAATGTTGATGGTACCACTGTCTACATAGATGACATTTTGATACAGGCAAAAACAGGAAATTGTGACTACAGGCTCTCTGAAGCTTTAGATAAGATGAGAGC